ATCTTAACTTTTAAGGTTTAACTCCTTCGCATTGGAGGTCTTTGGTTTCTGCTTTCCTTGCAGTACTTGTTGGCAGTAAGTCTTCTCCATTTCAAGTGTTTCTGTTATGATTTTAAAGGTGCTGCTGAATCCTGGCTCAAGCATTGCTAAAAATATAGTTGTTAGAGCATCTGAGGTGAGAAAAGCCAAGGCCTCCAGCACACCTCCTGCTACTATTCCTGTATTCACTCCTAGAACACTTGTAATGCAGACAAAAATTTAAATGCCTGATCAGAATTACTGGAAAGTGACTGTGTGGAGAACACTGAGATTATTTGCATATTTTATAGATGACTGATTTTAGTATAAAGGAAAACATTTCTTAAAGAATGTTCTGTAAGTAAAGGTTTTGTATGGTGCTTTGAAAGTAGGAGAGTTCTGTTCTCACTCTTAAAAAGAGATGGATACATAACTATAAACTTTGAAGATGTAATTAAAATATATGTAGTGTGGAACGAATTGAATCTTTCTTCAAAGCTGCAAGTACTGCTTTGTAGTATAGACAGATGTCTCTTCTCTGCTGTGTTTGCACGAAGTGAGGATTTTAGGTTAATGTACGTGTTTGAATTCTTTGCTTCTACACTCCTAAGGCTTCCTCCAGCAGAACTGACAACAACTTTGCCTTACAGAGCAGTTAGAGGGGAGTTAGGAACACCTCATACCCACTGAAAACTCAGAGAAGTATGAGAACACAAAAGAATGATGTTTTAGTCTTTTACAGAAGAAAAAATAACCTCTTCACAAAATCATTCTTACAGGGAAATATTGCTTAGTTCCAGGGGTGCGATTGCTGTTGAAGCTAAGAGACCACGCATTAGATGAAGGCAATTAGGGTCTGAATCCCAGCTTTGCCAGTTCATGTTAAATGGTAAATCAGTCTAAAGGGATATTGCATACAAAAAAAGTATTTGAATCAAACGCTGTTAATCTATTTTTCTCCTGTACAGATCTCAAAACAATGAGTGAGCGACTCAAGAATAGGTACTACGTGTCTAAGAAATTATTCATGGCAGACTTGCAGCGAGTCTTTACAAATTGCAGAGAGTACAACCCCCCCGAGAGTGAATACTACAAATGTGCCAATATACTGGAGAAATTCTTCTACACAAAAATTAAAGAAGCTGGATTAATTGACAAATGACACTGGTTTTTTTACAGCCAAACAGTGTGCCTCCTTTATAGGCAGGGGAAGCTGTTATGTATCTGAGTTGTGGGACTTTTAAGGTTTCAAGAAACTTCTGTTTAATACTTAGCACTTTTAAAAACCCTTTTAGTTTTGCAAACATGTATTATACTGAAGTTACAAAAAATATTTTATTAAAATGCTTTATAATGTATTTAATTACGGAAGATTTCTTTTGTGTGCCCATTACCGTATGTTCATAATAAGTTTATCAGCTACAGCCTCAGAAACCCCACAAAATGTGGGAAATTGCACACGTTTGGGAATAACAAGTAAATTCCCAGACAACGGATGTTATAGCTTACCTAATGCAGTACCTATTTGATAAAGTTTTTTGTTTGTTTTTTCCAGTAAAAAAGCAAACAGTAAGGGAAAACAACAGTTGGGGGGGTTCTGAAACACTTGTTTCTTTGTAGAATCTTTTTATAAGATATTATTTTTTAAAAGAAACACTCAGCTGGTTGAGAAGCTGAGAGAAGAGCAGCCAGTTCTGAAAAAAGACTACCTGTAATCTTTGATAGATGCGGTTTTTTTATTCATATTTTACCTGCAAATTGTAATCTCATAACCACTATTTAAAAAAAAAAAAACAACAAAACAATCTGGCTAGATGTGTAATGTCATAGTGACTTGGCTTATGCAGGACATAAGTACCTAAAATAACTTCAGAGAATCTGATTTGCATATACTAGACAATTTTAATTGGCTTAGTAGAGTTAAGGTTTTGATGCACTTCATGATCCACCCTATTTACTACTCTTCACTGATGAATTCTTTAGATTATTCTGCAGAGATAAGACTATTGTACACAAAAGAAGTCAACATATGACAGCTTCTAGCTTACATATTTGGCTCTGTGGTAAACTGGATTTTCTACCAAGGTTTATTGTAAATGCTTCTTAACTGTGATTATTTAGACCCAGGAACATATTAGCATTTTACAACTCGTGTTAGTATATCTTCAAATTGAGCACTTATATATAAAATAGATATATTTTGCTGCTTACACTACATTTAAGAGGTACACCTAACTTCCTAATGGAGATCAGTACAGGCCAAAAAGTTGTCACTTGACATTTTCTAATTAAAGTTTGTAACTGTAAATTACACTTGCTTTTGTGAAAAACAGATTTAACTTTCATTCTTGGTGTTTTATATTTACAGATGTTACACTGGTAAAATTTAGTAGTTATAAGACTGAAAAAACCCCAATCCTGTGCTGTGTCAAAGAATATATTCCTGCAAAATGCCTGTGCAATGTTAAATCACAAGTTGATTCAGCAAGTAGATGTCAGGACTTGCTTGGAAGTAGTAAATGTGGTACACAAGGTATTCAAAATGTTAACACTAGACTTGACACAGTGTTTTGTTTGAGATTAGTCTGACCTACATTGGGATCTATAACAGAGGTACAGTGAGTATTTTTTTTTTTAATAGCCAGTATTGGATGCTATAATTCTGTTTTGTAGTTTGGGCCTACAGATGCACCTGTTAAGCTCAGTATCCTGTGAAATTTTGTTATTTTCAGAGTAGATTTTCTTACTGTCTTTCAATCAGATTGTCTCTTCTATATTGAAACATTTGTTTTCTAATTTAAGAATTAATATTTTCATAGATACTGTGCAATAAAGTTATGGTAGGATATGTGGTTTTGCAAATGCTTTAACAGCTGATGAACTTTACATTTGTAAAATTAATATATTGTACTGGTACAGAATAGTTTTAAATTATATATGTACAAAACTATTTATTTTGGTCTCCTTTTTTCATTAATTAGTTCTTGCACTACAAATATACACACAGAAGCAATTTCACAACTTGAACACAGTGAAGCTACAGGAGCAGTCAGTGCATCTTCCAGGTACACTAGAAAATAGGCAAAAAAAGCCTCCTGCGTTCCCTGGGAGCATGGTGTGCTGAGCTGAGAATTCAGCAAGGAGGGCTGTGACTGTTCCAGGTAGCATTCCCAGCTCCATACTAAGCTGCGGTGCTGTTACTCCCCCCTCTCCTCAACATCTCAAACAATTATTGGACTGAGCTGTTCAAGAGTTTTGATTTTTCACCTCAAGGCATGCTCGTGCTGTTTCCTTACTTTAGTCTACCGGCATCCTTTATTGACGAGACCCAAAGACAGTCCATGTTGGCTTGTACATACCTGCTGGCACCATGATGTTACTCACCATCAACAAACCCTGCACCCATCAATTAGAGAGTAGGAAGAGATTTGTATTTTTTTCCCTCCATCCTCTAAGATTTAGTCCTGTACCACATCACGTAAAGTGGATTGTTCAGAGGGTGGTAAAGACTGGCCAAAGAAGCTTAGCCTTTGTCCTGGACACTTGTAGGAATATCAGTTGATACTAGGTGAGATAGACTCAGTACTACTTCCTGCAGTTGTGAGGGAACTGCAGCACTTTCTCAAGCTTACCGAATCCCAGAAAAAGCCCAGACACACCCTATCTGCCTTGGGCTGCTCTGCTGTCCCTGAGAAAACATCTGTTACAGGTTTGTTTGCTGAAAGAAAACCTGAAGTTAAACCATTCTGCTTCAGTTCCTATAGTATTATAGCGTTTCAGAATGAAGACTATAACATCCAGAGCTAGAATTTTAGGTTCCCAATGGAAAGTTAAACTTCAGTTCCAACATCCAAAGGCTGTGTTGCAAACAAATTTTCAAAGACGCAGTAGCTGCAACTTTTCTCAACAGTAATAATAAAGTAAAAAAGTTACCAGTAAAACAGTAATTATTGCAGAAAGGGAGAGATCTCACACTGTAGAAGTGGGACAGGTGAGACGGGCATCTTGCAAGACAAATGAAGAACCTGTATTTTTGTACTTTCACATTATTTATTGTTGAATGTAGCTTTCCTTTTTTATATTCATGTAGCCACCAATACTTCTTAAATGTTTCTCAAAGCTCTGCAACCCTGAGATCTTGCTGGACATTTTATAATGGTGGTGTTCTAGCATACTGCCTATTCTGGTACCAAGTGGTACCAGTTCCTCTGGTGAAGGGGCAAAATTATTATGAAGTCCCATAATAGCAGTTTACACTCCACCAAAATGAGGTCTCTTCACACCCTTCACAGATAAGATTTGCTTTGTTCCTATCTGGTTAAGTTAATTAAGTTAAACTCACATTCACAGCGGTACCAACCAACCCTATCTGCAACTTTTGAGAACTCAGCTACATAATCAAATTACAACTGCTTCTAACCAGTGCTTATGCTGCATAAAGCAGAGAAAGGAGCGCGCTGGCTTGCAGCATGCCCACAGCTGACCCTTGAAGCAACTATGGAAACCGTGCAAAAACACCACCAGCCAGCTCCAAGGCTATTTCCAAACACCAAGACATTTATTATGAGCTTTAATAGGAAACTACAACTATGACATAAACAAGATCTGTACAAACATTGTTATTAAAAAAACCCAAACCCAAAACTACAAAAACATTTGATCTTAAGTAAGTGCCTGAAGTTCACTGAGTATATGTCAAAATTACATTCTTCTCCATCAGATATTTCTGATGCACTCACAGATCCATGATGTACGGATGCCTCCTCTTGAGAGTTTGAATGGAATCACCTTAATTATAAAAGTAGTCTTGTGTCTTCTGTATCATTAAAAACAAGTCAATGGATTAAAAACAAACCCCCTTAATTTTATATCCTTAATATTAAGCCATATGGAAATAATTGCATATTTGTGTAAGATACTATGGACAAAAGGTTTCCTTTCTTTGTGGAGTGCGCATCATTTTGCTATCATGACTGGAAATCTCAACAACAACCAACAAATTTCTCATTGTATTTTGACAGAGATGCTTTCTTCACAGAACGGCGTTTCACATCTTTTTTCTGCTTGAAAATTGGAGAATTCAGGAAATTTGTATCTGTAAATGGATCTCCTCTCCTGAGTTTCCTGTTAAAAAAAAAACAAAACAAAAAAACAGGCAAAATTAAATTTTGTTCTCCATCTCACTTAAAACATTAACTTTCAGCGAGTAAGTTCAATCTCACATGAACTGTTTTGTATTACTGACATCAGACCCTCTGAGCGTTGTGTTAAGAACACATTTCCAATGTTTAACTAATCCCCTCAAATCCTCCATGTGATGGAATATCATGAACTTCATATAAAACTGGAAAGTAAGAAAGATACCTACCTTACAATACTTGGTTCTTTATAACTCACAGTAAGAGTACAGCTTCGCTTGCGTTTTGGAGATAGTGGTCCTTCACCTCCCAGGACAGCAGGTGCATTCCCAGTGCTAGGGAGCAGTGAAGCAGTATTGGTAACATCACAGAGATGACCACGAGATGGCTCAGAAGGCTGCCCTGAGAAAAAAAATTAGGTACATTTAAGACAATTCATGCAAGCTGGCTGAAGACAGTGTCAGTGAATGTACTAGCTGTGAAGTAACTCTCAGCTATAACAATTATCTTCATCTTTCCACTTCAGTAAGAGTGCACAGGACGATAAACGCATATTTGGGATTTTCATTTGGAAAAATAAATTAACACTAAGCAGTGCCAGGCAAAGTGTGATTTGTTATTCTACTTCTCTCTCAATTTATAATCTCATTCTCCTCTTTTTCCTCAGCTTCAATGCATCTTTAAACACGTCTAAAACACAGTATTAATTCATTGTTGAACAGTTTCGTAAAACAAAAGATATCTTTAATTCCAGTTTCTGCTGAGGAGAAAGAAAAAAGGTGGACAGGAAAATTAATCTAATGCTTTTTATAACATTATTCTCTTTTTGTTTATTTAAAAAGCTAAAATAAAAATAGCCTGAATACCTTAATGTTATCTCTCAATAAAACAAAACCAATTACAGAACATTTTCCGCACTTACTGACAGATTTGTTACTTGATTCACTGCTTTTAGTCTCTTTTTCATTATGGAGTTCCGGCTGACGCTGTGCCAAACATCTTTTAGACCTCGGCCTCGCATGGACTGGCGATGGGTCTTGCTTGTCCACTGAACTTTTCCTTTTCTTTGATTTGCTCTTATAAGGTTCATAGAGGCTATCGTCTGAATCTTCTTCAGCATCGCTTGACTCGGTGGTATTGGTTTCAGGTAAGTCTTTTTTGTCATCTACATCAGTATCTGTGTCATTCACCTTACTTTGTCGAAAAGGTGTAACATGGACACACTCTTCAAAATGAAAGTCATAAGCATCATTAGAACCACCCAAGAAATCCAACTTTTCTTTGGAAGCCTCTTTACCCTGTCCTTTTTTTGGTCTTTGTCTGGAAGTATTTTTTGGCCATTCCAGTTTTCCCTTCCGATGCTTCTCTTTCCTCACTTGAGAGCCTTCTCTGCTTTTACACTCACGCTGTTTAAGATCAGAATTATTGTCCAAGTTGAACTGTGCAGTTTCAGAACCTATTCGCCTGAACACCAGCTTTGAGTCCACCTTGTTTTCTTTCAACTGAGAAAGATCAGAGTTGATGTTTTCTATAGTACACTTCTCTAGACTTTCCTCAAGTCTAATTTCATCCTTTTTAGAAAGCTCTCTTGTTGAATCGGGTGCTTCTGAATGGTCCAAGACACCGGTGCAAAGTTCATCGTGATTTCTCATCTTTGAATAGCGACGTCTGGTGGACACGCTTTTTGGTAACACGTTACCAAATCCATCCTCTCCACCTGAAGAAACAGTTTCCAGCTCTGACCCTATGTTGTCCAGATGAAAATCAGATGTTCGCCCTTGTAATCGAAGGGGAAAAAGTCATATTAAAGCTAAATAGTAACAGCCTGGAAAGATTTTGTGCATATTCCAAACTTGTCAAAAATTAAGACTATTCCTAGAATTTTCTCCCCAGATTTGTACAAACCAATATTTGGCAATCAAGATAAGCTCTGTTTAATACAGCTTCCAGACAGAAAGCAGTTCAGTATCCTAGAGTAGGATTTTCCTCTAAACTGTTCTGTTTAGAAAGGTGTTACCTACAGGTCATTTATTTTTCTGACTACTTTGCTTTGTTAACAATTGCTGATTTCATAAATTATAATGCATGACTAAAGTTTACTTTACTCTGTTGAACTGTTTGGTAAATAGTGAAACTAGATTGCAGGTATATAGAGGACAAAGCATTTTCAAATTCATCCCCCATTCTGCTAGGCACCTTCATTCAAAAAGTTTAGCAGTTGCCAACATTAGTATCTAACCTTTATGACAGTAACTGGAAAGTTACTTGGCAGTTACTTCCAAAGCAGTAATTGCATTTTAAACTTATACTCACACTTTTTTTTTTTCCTGATACAGAATAAAGCAATGTCTGACACTTTGATTTAGTTACCTTTGTCTGGAACTATTTTGATTAAGGAAATGGCATTGTCAGATTCCTCACAGATCTGTGACACAGAATGAGCCAGCTCATTTCTATCAGTATGAGCCTCCATCTCACTTGGAAGTACTCGATCATCTCCATCAGCAGACTGCAGAGGTCCTCTAGAGAAGATACCAAAGGTAGTATTTACTGAATAGCAATATATTTTATGACAATGAATTATTTCTTTATATTGGATTTCTTCCCTTTTCCCAGTCAGAAAATTAAGCTTACTGTAACCAGATTTTCACATATGAAAAGGTATTAATAAAACATACTTACACTGAACTTATTTGTCCTAGGACACTGGAACTATTTTCAAGAACTGAAGAAAGCACTCTCTGATTCTGCCAATAAAATAAATGTTACTGTGACTAAATAGCAGAAACAAGCTTGCACCAAATACAAATTTTAGACAACAGCCAAGTTACTCACAGAAGGGCCAAAGAGGCCCTTGACTCTTACTTTCTGGCTGGCTCACACAAAGTGCTGTGGGATCTCACACACTCAGCTCCTGCAAGTCAGTGCATTCATCACCAACCCAATCACACAGATCATGGACAGAGGAAGGAACTATGAGGATGGTACAGCGTGCCCCACCACCTCATAGCAGAGCCTCAGTCCCACCAACAACCTACTACACACCCCCATGGTGGGACCCTGTGTCATACTGAGACCTGTGGGACTAGTCATACCTCCAATCTAAGGCTCAAGTCTCAAAAACTGTGTGCATCTCTACTGGAAGGAGTAAGAGGAAGAATTAATAAATATCCTGTTCCCCAAGAGGAAAGGGTACTTACCACATCTGTGGAACACAAGTTCTTTGCTGGGCCAAGGAGATCAATTGAGTTCAGTAAGTTCTGAGAAACTTTTGAAATTATCTCATTCAAAGCTGACAGTCGATTCTAATGGATGAAAGAAGAAAAATAACACTGTTGCTGTTATTCTCTGTATCAACTACCAGTGTAATAATTTTTCACTAGCATTGAGATGGCTAAATCCTGATAATCAAAAATAACCTGTGATAAAAAAGTAAAATTCACAGAAGACAGATTTTAATTAAAGAAGAAAGAACAGCCAGAAAAAAGCATTTAGGTAATGACCAAATTAGGCAAAAGTGACAGAAAACTTGTTCTATATATTATTTTTTTTGTGTAACATTTAAGATTACAAAGATATTAGTCGATTGGTGCAGATTCTGATGCTCAGCTTCACTAAATCATACTTATTACTAGAAATACCTCAACAAGTACTTGTGCTCGGTTGAACCTATAATTTCTTTGGAAGTCAATCATCTGAAACTTCAGATCTTGATAGTCTTTCCTTAAATGAAGAATGGTAGCCTGGGCATCCCTCAGTTTGAGCTTTTCTTCCTGCAAAGCCTGAGCTAAAGCTCTGTTATTTGCTTGGATGCTCTTGATTTGTGTGGAGCTGTTGGCTGCAATAGAACAGTGAGTATGTCAACTTGGGTTAAAAAAAAACAAAAACAAAAAACTTTTAAGATTTAAGATACTTAAGCATCTTACTTGGTTTTTTACACTTTGCAGTGGAGATCTGGCTGATTTTACCCAACTTGATCCGTTTCTGATTTCTTTTCTCTTTCATTCGTTCTTTTATATCACTCAGACTGTCACTGAAGGGCTTTTTCAAGGATTCAGCCATCTTCTACCTTTAGAAACATAAAGGGCAAAGAAGTCATTAAGCTGGTGTTGCACAACACTCTGCAACACCAAAAGAAAAGGAACAGAAACAAGAGTAAAAGCTTTTGGTATCTTGAAGTTGCATATACATGTGTAGAAGAGACCCATGAATACAAAAAGGCACACAGTGACAGCCATTTCCACAGCAGTTTTTGCAGCATGGCTCCCATCACTATTGCTGATTATCTGAACAGCCAAATGCGCAGTGGCCACGGGGAAGGCCAGGCTGAATTATAGAATCACAGAATGGTTTGGGTTG